TAATAATCTGAACAATAAAGATTTAATTTAAAAAAAATTTAAACAATAAAATAAAAATAAATTGAAAAAAAGAAAGAAAAGCACTGAATCTTTACTCAAATGTCATTCAATCACAGAAATTAGGTAAAACCCATGGAAGCATTTAGGCAACAAAGGCAAATGAAGACAGTGAAGATAAAACTTAATATAATGGAAGTATTTTATTTTGCTTGATTAAACCTCACTGTTCAAGAAAATGACTTGTAAAGTAAGTCTAAAGAGTACAACAAAATTAATACAACAGACTAAAAAATAGCTGTCCTATTTTAGTAATTACTATTTACAGGTGTCTTGAAAGAAACAAAATTTCAATAATTCTCCTTCAGATTCCTTTAAGCAATTTTCAACAGGATGACCATCAAATTTCTGATCTGACAACACTTACCTTGGTATGGTGACACATTTAGTATTACAATTTTGAGTGGTGATAGCTTTCTCAAGCTCATCTAATCGTCCTGTTTTCTTTAGCTTCTTCACCAAACTTTTAACTGCTTTCTCACACCACTTTTCTTCCTGTCCATTCTGCTCTCCTCCACCTGCTCCTCCGGATCCACCAGCTGATTTCTTCCATCCCAGCAGTCTCTTCACAACTGGTGGAGTGAATGGCAAGATGGACGACATATTCTTACTAAAGGCAGCAATCCACACTAAGGAAATAGCCTTCCTTTATCTAACCTAGAAAAGATATGGAAAAGGTCATTTAGAGGGGAACTTTAAAATCAAGTAATTATTTCAACATGGTATCAAAAGCAAATTACAAAATGAGATAGAAATTCAAATTACTACTTTCACAACAGATTTTTCAGAAGTTCTCTTCTTCACCCATTAAAATATCTTAACTAATTTAAACAAATTATGGAAATCAACCCTTTTACAAAAGACACAATGTTATAAGTGAGTAAATATAATAATTTTACAAATAAAATATTTATCAATACTAGACCAGTTAATCACTATTAATACAATATTAAGTTTCAATAGTGTCAATAATCAAAATACTTTCACCAAAAGAAAAGCTTTTTCTCACTTTTTAGAACTTCAATCTAATTTTCAAAACATTTCACAGAAATATTTTTTAAAAATTTACAAGCCCACTCTCCCCAAAGTTTTGAATTTTCATAACTGGCTTGGTATCATGAAACAAAATCTAAAGTTATAAGAAGGGAAAGTATAAAATATATAACAAGAATCCTATATAATAAAACACTAATATGCAAATTGACCAAACAGCAGAACGACCGGTTGCTATGATGCGCACTGACCACCAGGGGGGAGATGCTCACCACAGGAGCTGCCCCTGGCGGTCAATGCACTCCCACAGGGGGCGCGCAGCTCAGCCAGAAGCTGGGCTCATGGCTGGTGAGCACAGTGGCAGTAGCCTCTCCTGCCTATGAGGCAGTGCTAAGGAGCCACGAGCCCGGCTTCTGGCTGAGCAGCGCTCCCACAGGGAGCGCAGCAGCGGTAGCGGGAGCCTCTCCCACTTCCACAGCAGCGCTAAAGGACCCCTCAGGGGATGTCCATCTGCTGGCTTAGGCCCCCTCCCTGCCGAGGGGTCCTGGACTGCATGAGGGTGCAGGCCAGGCTGAGGGACCCCCCCACCCCCAGTGCACGATTGTCGTGCACCAGGCCTCTAGTAAAGAAAGAAAGGTAGACAGAGATATAAAGAAAAGGTTTGGGACCTGGCCTGTGTGGTTCAGTGGTTGAGTATCAACCTATGAACTAGGAGGTCACGGTTCCATTCCCAGTCAGGGCACATGCCCTGGGTTGCAGGCTTGATCTCCAGTAGGCAGCTGATCAATGATTCTCTCTCATCATTGATGTTTCTATCTCTCCCTCTTTGGTTCACTTTTACATCCCTTCAGAAGATTTTTAATTAAGCTTCTTTTAAAAAATATATTTTCATTTTTAAGTAATAATGTGCATAGTGAGTATAGTCAAATATAATTGCTCTTCTCACACCAAGATACACGTTTTTAAAATCTTAAAACTTTTATTTAATCTTGCTATTTATAACTCAGTATAGTAGTCTCCCTAACCACCCCACCCCAACCCAACCCCTCAGACCCCATCTGCAGTTTCACTTTCCAGGATTTCAGTTACCCACAGTCAACAGTAATCCAAAATTACTAGATACACGATTCCAGAAATAAACAATTCATAAATTTTAGGTTGCATGCCATTCTCAGTAGTGTGAGAAAATCTAGCACTGTCCCACTCTATCCCACCCAGGATATGAATCATCCCTCTCTCCAGAATATCCACAATGAATACTGTCCCCAACCCTGGACACTTAATAGCTATCTAGGTTATTAGATCGGTTATCAGAAAGAGAGAAAGAGAAAGATAAAGAAACCACATTCATATAAATTTTATTATAACATACTAGAGGCCCGGTGCACAAAAATTTGTGCACTCGGGGGGCGGGGGGAGGGGGTT